GGACAATTACCAAAGTACCAAAAAAAATACAAGCTAGGGGGCAAACCCTCCATTGGACCTAGGGCTTAGTGAACAATACTTATCAGGCTCCACAAGACCCAACACAAGCAAGCTTCGTCTCTCCTTTGGCAAGCTTAGCAGCATTCTCCAATACCACCCTCTCCCTATCCAAGGCTGTCTTGTCTCTCTTCTCCTCCACCTCTAGTGGTCCCTCGCCAGGTTGCCTATCATCTTAGATCCACCTCAGGTGATCCCTCTGTCCATAGTTGGAAACCATTTGCACACCAATTTGAATAGAATTGATGGCAGCAAATTACATATATATAAAAAAATAAATAAAAACTCACATTGTAGCGCACCTCCAAATCCACTAAAATTGTTTTCTTTATACCTTCAAAATCCTTTTTCTTTTTTTACTGTTTTGCTCATTTGTTGAAAAGCCCCATGCTCACATCTGTGTCTAAATCAACACGTAGATGAGTTGTAGTCATAGTGTGCGCCACAAACCATAGGAAATGAGAAGATGAATAGTAAACAGATGATGAATCCTAGAACAGTTATCCTATTCTCCTAGCAAAATATTTACAGAATTGGGTTTTATCACCAGAATGTCCTGAACGAGATGAAAAGATTGGAAAACAAAGAACATGAGTTTATGTTGTAAGAAGAGACATGATTGCTAAGGTTTTAAATCAGGATATGGCCTTAGACATAGCCACCTGGAGAGGGATTGATGTAAGGCAACTACAAGCAAGCAGCTTGGGTTGAGGTATTCTTGTGCTCATCAAATTTTGTAAGACTTCTTAATTCCTGAGGAAAACAAATATAGAAGGCAGAGCACTAATGCATGAAGAGCAGGGGAAAGACCCAAAAAAAAGAAGAAAAAAAAGAGGGGGAGGGGATTGTAAGTTTAGAAGAAAAGAGATTAGGGTATGATTGTGATATCATTCTCTTTTATATTTATGAAGATTAATAATTATGAGCCCTAAGGTATAGAATAATTACAATAGAATAATAACCCAACTAATAATATATTATTCTAACACTCCTCCTCAAGCTGGTGTGAAGATATCTCTCATGTCCAGCTTGCCTACAATGTTATGCAATGACTTACTCTCACCCTTGGTGAGGATGTCAGCGAGTTGTTCACTAGACTGCACAAATGGAGCACGTATTGTGCCATTAGTGAGTTTTTCCTTAATAAAGTGGCAATCAATCTCAATATGTTTTGACCTGTCATGTTAAACCAGATTGTGAGTGATGTTGAAGGCAGCCTTATTATCACAGTATAATCGCATGGAGTCTGTCTGATCAATACGTAGATCACTCAACAATAACTTGATCCATAAGAGCTCACACACCCTTTGTGTCATAGCTTTAAACTCAACTTCTGCCCTTGACCTGGTAACCACATTCTATTTCTTACTCCTCCAAGTGACTAAGTTGCCTCTAACAAAGGTGCAATACCCCAAAGTCGAACTCCTATCAGTTATTGATCCAGCCCAGTCAGCATTTGCATAGGCTTTCACACGAAGATGATCATGCTTTGAAAAATAAAGACCCTTACCACGAGTAGACATCAAGTACCTCAAAATTCTTATGACAGTCTCGAAGTAAATCTGATGAGGAGCATGCATAAACTTGCTAACCACACTGACAGAAACATCAATATCAAGACGGGAGTCAGATAGGTAGATGTGCTTACCCACTAAACGCTGATAGCTCCCCTTATCAACAGTTGCTCCTCCTTCATCATTCCCCAATTTCTGATTGGGTTCCAGTGGAGTGTCATCAATAGGTCAAGCACATACTTCCTCTATGAGATAAATATCCCATCCTTTAAGCGAGCAACTTCAATTCCCAGAAAATACTTCAAGCTCCCCAAGTCTTTGATTTCAAACTCACTTACTAAATATTTCTTCAACAGAGGTATTTTCTCACTATCATCACCTGTAAGAACTATGTCATCCACATAAACAATGATCATTGTAGTCTTACCATGTGAGGAACGTTTCACAAAAAAAGTGTGATCTACCTGACTCTGTTCGAAGTCATATTTAAGCATAACCTGAGTGAATCTCTCAAACCAAGCCCTTGGCGACTATTTGAGACCATAGAATGACTTCCAAAGCCGCCATACTTTACCCTTTGTTTGATGATCCTCAAAATCAGGAGGAATGTCCATATATACCTCATCTTCGAGGTCACCATGAAGAAAGGTATTCTTTACATCAAACTGATGAAGTGGCCAATCTAGATTAGCTGCTAGAAAGAGTACTCTGACTACATTCATCTTAGCCACGGGTGCAAAGTTCTCCTGATAGTCAACGCCATATGTCTGAGTGAACCCTTTTGCCAGAAATCTAGCCTTGTAACGCTCAATAGAACCATCCACTTTGTGTTTCACAGTATACACCCAATTGCATTCCACAGGTCATTTGCCTTTAGGTAACTCAGTCAATGCCCAAGTGTCATTCTTCCTAAGTGCTTTCATTTCCTCAATCATGCCAAGTTTCCACTCAGAGGTAGCAAGCACATCCTGAAAATGATTAGGAATGCCAATAGAAGAAATACTTGACACAAAAGCTCTATATAAGGATGACAAATGAGAGTAGGACACAAAATTTGAGATAAGATGTTGAGTATAAGATCTTACTCTACATGAGAACGACAAATGAGAATAGGACACAAAATTTGAGAAAGGATGTTGAGTACAAGATCTTACACTCTTTCTCTTGGCAATAGGAACATCAAGATCAATAGGAGTATCAAGATCAGTGGACTTAAGAGATTCAAAGTTACCTGGACTCTCATAAGAAGCAAGGGATAGCAGTGAGTGAGCAAAAGTAGTCTCTTGTATTCAATTAACTTTCTGTCTGTTTTTGTCCCTGACATAAACTTGCCCTTCCCTATCCTTGGTGACATTAGGTTCTGTAGTCCCAGTAAGAGGTGGTGGTACAAGAACAACTGGTTCCACCATAGAAATCACAAGAATAACTTCATAGGCTGAGGCCATCTCTATGGGTATAGTAATGCAGAGCGGTCAGTAGAGACAGGTAACATCATAGCAGACCGACGACTCTTCTCATTCTATACAGAGGCAAATGCCTTCTTAAGTGAAGGAAGAGTGTCCATACCTAGAACTCGACTCCGAACCGGATCATACTCCACATTAAGACTTGCCAGAAACTAGAAGGCCTGTTCCTATGCAATGAATTCCTATATCCGACTGAATCAGTAGTATAAATAAGCTTATAGTCCTGCAGGTGATCAAGGCATTTCCAGCCGTTGGTGAGGAAGGTGAAGTACTAGAGAACAGTTTACTCCCCCTGAACAGAGCTCTCAATAGAGCGGCACAACTAAATGCCTATGAGAAACTCCCTTTGCGAGAATAGGTGGCAGCCACAGCATCCCAAATATCCTGGGCAGTCTGCATAGACAAGTAGCCCTCACCAATGTCTGGTACCATCAAATGAATAAGCCAACTCATGATCAAAGAGTTGGTAATCTCCCATTGGTCATAACCCGGGTCAGTGGTACTGGGTCCTTGTATCCTGCCATCAACATACCCTATCTTCCCTTTGCTATTCAAAAACATAGTCAAACTCTGTGACCACGCTAGATAGTTCTAACCATTAAATAGAGAGGTGGTGAATTTAAGACTAGGGTTGGGGTTATCAGTCATAGTAGTAGGTATAATGGAACTCTCACTATGAGGTGTCTAAGACGTAGCGGACACACTGGTAGAATCTACCATGGATACTGGACGACCAAACCCGCAACAAAGCTAGTGCCAATCACAAACCCGGAACGTAGAGGAATACAAGCACAAAAGTAACTAGAAAAACATAAAGAATTAAGAATATAGTTTTCTTTTTTTTAGGTCAAATGTGTTTAAAAGACATTTAAGAAACAAACATTACAGATGGAAGACGAAGTCCAACAGAGGTTGTTGACAAAAGTAGAGGGCCAAGGAGGCCAGAAGGACTGCCGATGAGCGAAGAAGGCCAGAGGGACTGCCGATAGGGCCCCAGAAGGCCAGAGGGACTGCCAACAGACCCCTAGAAGAGTCGCGAGACGGCCGTCCAAGCCTAATAGGCTGTTAGGGAGCCCAGGAGAAGAGCCGAAGACCTGGGCAAGGGGGTCGGAGCTTTGGATCGATTGTAGGTGGCTGGGTGAGGAGCTGATTGGACTGTCAGAGCTTTGGGTCAACTGTAGGTGGCTAGGTGAGGTGCCGACTGGATTGTGGAAGAGAAAGGACTGTCAACGAGTGAGAAAGGGACTGTTGGCAAAAGAGGAGAAGAGTAACGGAGGAATGGGCTAGGGTTTTGGCTTTGATGCCAAGTAAGTTTAGAAGAAAAGAGATTAGGATATGATTATGATATCATTCCTTTTTATATTAATGAAGATTAATAATTACAAGGGAGCCTTAAGGCATAGAATAATTACAATAGAATAATAACCCATAACAAGGATAACCTTTGGTCCAACCCACCACCATGAAATGGATTGGATCTAATATCACAAAGCATGGCCCCACTGAATTGGGGAAATGAAGCATTAGTGCTCTCATTTCCACCTCTATACATACTGCTAGTGCCCAAATAGCCAAGAACATCCTCAACACACTTATCAAATCTGTAATCAGAGTGTCCATGTCATCATATGCCTGTGGTATATGTTTCCAAGTGAAATGCTTAATTTTCAGTTAAAAATTGGTTTGCTCTGATATATAAATTTCAACTTTACATACAATCTAGTATGTCAAAGATACGCAGATGTCATTAATGAATGTGTTCACACAAATCGCACTTCCAACTACATAGGAATGCTTGTGATGCGGGAAAAAAAAATTTTCATTCCCCTGGAAAGTTTCATTTAATGATATTTAAACTTAAAAAAAGCTTCTCAGGCCAACATTATGTCTATAGAGTCAGCTATTTATCAAAAAAATGATGTCAGCAAATATACATGGCTTAGAAACTATGAAGATATCTTACAGTTTCTTTTGCTGCAGACATTGCTAGGAAACCAGCACCCATTTCGACTTCCTGCAATCCAACAACAACAATGCCAACATCTGCAGCTGCAGAACCTAACCAGGAAATAAGTGAATCATGAGAGACTCTTCCTTGTCCAACATTCCAAGTACCAGCCAATATTTTCAGATTTTCAATCCTAGTATATAGAAATTCTTTGCCAGCTAATTCTGAACGTAATATGCTATCAAGAGGTCCTGGAGATGTGACGTTCCATCCACGTATACCACCATGGTTAGCCAAGGTGAAAGCGTAACCAGCCCCAACAGCCATATCTATTACAGGACTGTCGTGAGCTACCCAGTCTCCAAGTAAATTGCCATCGAGATCCAATATGTTGACGGTGCCACTCACATAACCTACCCATATTCGAGACCCAAATGTACTTAAGCATTGAACAGCAACAGAATGGTACTGAAATTCTTGCAAACGATTTCCATTTCCATCCCACTGCACAAGCATTCCATTTGAACACCCAATCCAAATCATTCCATCAATTGTTGTGATTAGTGCTTCAGTTCTCCGATTATCATCTCCAAATGCTCCCTTGACAGCAACTCGACGAACAGCATCAGCAGCTCCCATTATAGCATTACGTGAGCGCTGAAAGAAACTGAAAGAACTTTGTGGTCGCTTCATTTTCACATCATCTTCCATTGTGGGATCCTGTACTAATGATATATTCTCAATCTGACCATCTATGTTGAACACTTTCAGTAACTCTCTAGTACGAGAATCCCTGCAGGAATAAAAACTCTTACACTGATTCAAACACATGTATGATATATAAGGATCAGCATAGGAAGATAGTAACAAATAACAACGAAAGTATTTAAAATTGCAGATGCTAGAAAGCATACACAAAAGGAGGACATCTAAGAATAAACATAAGCCTAATAAACAATGAGTGGATTATATGGGAGGAACCATTTGTGCAACAAGAACACTGATGGCTCTATGAATCATATTTATAAATGCTTCAAAATAACACAGTTTATGCATAAATGATAAAATTGAAGATTATATGCACTTCAATTACGTGGAATACAATAATGACATTCCATTGCCATATCCATACATGCGTCTAGGCACGCAAGTACATAGGCAACCATAATGGTATGCATTTATGTGAACTGGAAGAGTATAAATTCCCTAAAAAAAGAAATTACAATTCCATGCAGAACTTCAAATAGAATGTGAAAAATATATAAAAACTGCACACATCGAACTACGACTGGTTGTTTCCCTGGCCCAAAAAGCTGTCATCCGTAGAAGTGTAATCAAAACGATTCTGAAGAAGCTTTGGTTACTACATGAATAATTAGATAACCATATGTTGGGATCATTGGATTGCACTCAAATCAATATATCTAAATCCATACATGTAACCTGATGAAAGGAAATGAAGACTGTGCAAGGAACTTTGATGTTTTTCCTACCCTGCAATTCAACTTGCAAAAATGGTGAAGGCAGAAGAGTATATGATGTCTCAAACACTAAAATAGATAAACAATAACTTTTTCATGAACATGCACCTAATTTATGATCAAATTTGCAAGCACTCAGAACAAACAACACCAAAAAATTATGCTAGCATTCCTAAAAATGCTGCAAGCTGGTTTTGAAACCAAAAGAACATATTCCATGACATTAAGTAGTAGTCACAACATCAGTAGCAGTTACAACATCAACAATAGTAGTTACAACAACAACAACAAATGTTGCCCTGACAAAAATCGAAGTCATAACATCAGGAGTTACAACAGTACCAGTAGTTACAACTTGGAAGTGGTTACAAACTTACAAAAAAAAAAATCAACTATCAATAAAGCAAGGTTGGAATCGTTATCTTTTGTGGATTTAACTACTATAACTGTTCATAACCCATGAACCATTCCAACAGCATGAAAAATCAACTTACATCTTCATAGAAAATTTCTAAAGCAAACATAATATCCAAGAAACTAAACACTTGATGCAACAATTCTTTATAATTAAATTTCAACTGAAAATTATCCACAGTGAAGACTTACCACAATGCAAATGAAAGATATCCTGCACACCACACTTTGGCTCCAGCATTATCAGACAACAAATACTTAACATCTGAAGTAAAAATATTACAGGCACCATTCATAGTGACTTGGCTCCTAAGGTCAATATATGATCTCTCCACTATTAGTGCAGCCATGTGCCTTTCTTCCACTGTTAGAGAAAGAGATTTTTCAGTGGACTCCCATGGCCAAATCTTGATCACACCCCCCTCAGAACCCGACCATAGATCCCCTGGACCAAAGTGAAGGTCAGAAAAGGGTAAAAACATAATCTGCATGCATAAAAGTTCCATTAGGATGTTTCCCTTGTGTTTCACTAAATCATATTAACAGTAGCACACCACTATCAAATTTAGAAATGAAGAAATCCAGTTTAGATTTGCAACATATCCTAGGAAAATAGAACCAACAATAATTTACAATAAAAATAAGTTATAGGCTTTAATCTAAGTAACCGCCAAGGGTAGCAAAGAAGACAAGCAAATTAGATTACTTCTGTTTGAAGACAAAGAATTCCCATAGGAAGAGATTTAGGGAAAAAATCATCTCCTTGTTTTACTTCAAGCATTATGCTGTCCTTGTAATGAATTTGACCGCTTGGATCAACAGCAGGCTACCCAACCTTTTTGATGGATGTTCTTTTGGGTGCCCAAGCCATTTAGGAATTGGAATTATATGTAGGGTTGAATAGACAACATATATTTTGTTCTCCAATTTGGTGGGGTAGGGCTTTGTCTGATGCTGAAGTCAGAGCTGTTCTATAAGGTCCTTGAAGCTTTGACTTCATAGCTCCGTCATTGCTTGAGAGAAGGCAATTCATAGGTAATGGTTGGTCTGATGAAGCTCAATCTCTGGATCAGTTCTCAACTTTAAAGGTTTGGTGACATTAGATGGAATCTAGATTGGCCAATGAAAATGCAGACTTGGCCAAGAATGGGGAGGGGCTTGCTCAGTTGTACCTATGATAGATAACTAACTAATTAGTTTTTAAGAAAACTCCTTAAGGAAGTAATTAGTTTTTAATTACTTTACATTAGCAGTTAGCCATCATCCCTCTCCTCTCTCTTTCTGTCCTTTTATCATTAATTACTATAATTTCTTGTTGAATAAATGCTTATACACATCTTTTACTCTCGTTATGCTACTTGATTTCAACCTTTCTAGCATGCGTAATTGATAAGTGCTTGAATGTTTACATTTAAGCCCCCTAAAGTGCATTTGTTAAGTTTTCAAGTCTAATTACTTGATGTATTCTAATGCATTTTTACTTTTTGTAGGTGTTTGAGCTCATGATGCTAAAATGCTATTAATTTGGAGATTTTGAAAGCTTGATGGAATATGCTTTGAAGTCCAATGAAGTCAAGGAATGAAGTGTTGAAAGTTGAAAAAGAGTAAACAAATCTCCCTATTGTGCTCGAGTACAAAATCTAAGTGTTTGAGCACTTAAGTTGTTGAGGAGAAAAAGAATTTGCGTCTATGTGCTCGAGCACAGAAACGATGTGCTCAAGCACAACCTATTACAAATTTTATTATTTTTAGGGTTGTTTTTAGCACATACATAAGGGAAGCTAGTAGCATTTTTTAAAAGGGGGATTTGGGGCCTCGAGTATTGAGGAGGCACAAAAGAGAAGAAAGAGGGAAATCCAAAGAGCTTTCCATGAAGATTCAACCAAAGCTTTGGCTCCCTCTACCATGAGCAACTAGACTCTCCATCGTAGGGTTTGACATGGACTAGTATAGCAAATAGAGATATGAATCTCTTTAATTTGACTAATGAAATGGCCTTGGGTGGAGAAGCAGGATTCATGCAGCTGATCCCATTTGATAGGACTTAGGACTTGGTTTGGTTTGGTTTGGTTATGATTGTATAACATTTATAGATTTTTGTTAGATTTATTATGTTATTTTATTTTATATTGAGGGTATTATTGTTATAGTAACATTAATGTTTCTAATATAAATATGTGTTGGGTGAGGGTTTTTCATTATGACCTAATAACCTATTCTCTATATTATCTGCTCTTCTCTTCTCTCTCTCTCTTTTCTCTCCAACCCTAAACCTAATTTCTTTAACTTTATACTTTTAACTTGGTATCAGAGCACTTCGATCTTATAATAATTTGTTTGGTTAAAGTTAGAAATTTTCACAAAGTGACCTAGACATCAGTATCTGTACGAACGCCAGGACCAGGCAGACACATGATTTGATACGTCTCCTCCTCCTAGTAATTTTGGTGATTTTTGTGAAATTTTTTGGGGGCTATTTGATGCCTAGCTTGATTTTTTGAAGTATTTTCAAAATATATTAGTGGTATTTTGCAATATGCTTCTGGAAGCTTTCCTTGTGATCTTTTCATTGTAATCTATCCTATGGGTGCCGACTAGTCCATTCTCTAAGATTTTTTTGACGATTTGAGGCTTTTGGATGTGTTTTTTCAACCTGCTGCTATGTCGTTATAGTTGTGGGTGGTTCACCCATTTGATTTTTTGCTTCTCTCAGCCTCTGTGGGTGCCGATTGGACCTTAGAAGGTCTTTTTAGACGTTGTTTTGAGGTTTTGTGGTCCTTTAAATCTTTGTTTGAAGCTCTCCATTTGTGGTTGTCACTATTTTTGCTTCAGTTCCTCTTATTTGCTCTTATGGCTGAAGAAAAACACCCTACAATCCTTAAGGATGATGACTTACCTAAATAAGTCTCCATTATTTGGTTTGGACACATGCTGTGAAAGTGTTTCTTCATGGTAAAAGGAAACACAAATACCTCTCCAATCTTCCTCCTTCTGCTGAAAACAAGGCTTATGATGATTGGTTAAGTGAGGATTTAGTTGTGATGGGATGGCTCTAGCATAGTTTGAAACCCCATGTTGCCACTACCGTTGAGTTTTGTGAGACTTCTAAGCAGATTTGGGACTCTCTTGCCATCTTTTTCTCATCAGGGTAATGTTTCCCATGTATATGAGTCGTATGAGAGGATATTTGCCACTAAGCAGTCTAGTCAACCATTGTCTAAATATTACAGCACCCTTAAGAATATGTGGGATCAACTCTTGCAACATTGTCCCTTTACTACTGATGTAGCACAACAGAAGCGTTATGGGGAAGAGTTTATATCACTTCCTAGCTTGGTTTTTGATTTGCGGGGTTTTAAGGATCAAATACTTGCAAGTGAGACCTTGCTTACCGCTACTAATGCCTACTCCTGCTTATTACGTTCATCCCTTAGCCAAAGCACTTGTACCTCCACAGCTTCTGCTTCTGCTTCTGCTTTTGCTTTGGTTTCTAGTAATGGTGGTTGTGGTCTTTCTCGTGGTGTTTTTCGCGGTGGATCTAGTAATCGTGTGGCTCTAATAGTTCTCGTGGCACTCTGTCTCGTGGTGGAGGTTCTTACAATGCTCCTCAAGGGGGTGGTTCTCATGGTGGTGGTGGTGGTTTCTCCTCTCGTGGTGATAGGAAATGTGATCATTGTGGTTCCACTAGCCATACTGAACCTTGGTACTGGAATAAGTATGGAAAACCCGATTATGTACATCTGGTTGTAGATGAAGTTCCTTCTCAGCAGATACCTTCTTCTCAATGGGCTTCTTCGTCTGATTCATATTAGCGAGATGCACTCACTACTCATATTAGCGAGCTGACTGAGCTTGTTCATTCCTTTCGTGCTGCTCTCCCTACATCCTCTACTACTACCTTGGCTAGTTTAGGTAATATTGCATATCTGGCCACCTTTCCTCAACTTGGTTCCTAGATTCTAGTGCTAGTTCTCATATGTCTGGTAATCCGTGTCTTTTCATTGGTTTACACTTTGTTACACATAATATTGTTCTTGTTGATAGGTCTTCTAGACCTGTTAGTGGGAAGAGTAGTCTTCATCCTACTGAGTCTTTTTCTCTACCCTCTAGTCTTTATGTTCCTAATTTTCCCTTTAATTTGCTCTCTGTTAGTCAATTGACTAAGGTTTTACATTATTCCATAACTTTTTCTCCTACCTCTTGTGTCTTGCAAGATGTCCAGACCAAGAAGATGATTAGTTTGGGGCATGAGAAGGACAACTTATACTATTTGGATCCTAATTGCTCTCCTCCCAGCACTTCCTCCGCATTAAGTGTTACTATCTCTCCTCTTCAATGGCATTTTGGCTTGGGTCATCCTTATTTGGCCAAGCTTAAGTTAGCCATATCTGGATTAAGTCATGCATCAAAGCTTGAGTGTGAAACTTGTCAGTTTGGGAAACGTCATCGTAGTTCTTTTCCTAGTCGTGAGTCCACATCTTTTGATGAAGTCCACACAGACATATGGAGACCTTATTGTACTCCCACTGTTAATGATTTTTTTTATTTTGTTATTTTCGTTGATGATTTTTCTCTAATGACATGGTTGTTTTTAATAAAACAGAGGTTTGATTTACCTCGATTTATTTTGCGATTCTATAATGAAATTGTTACTCAGTTTGGAAACGTATTAAAGTTTTTCATTTTGATAATGCTTTAGAATACATGCAATCCATTGTCACTTCCTTTTGTGTTGATCATGGTATTATTCATCAGACAAGTTGTGCTCACACCTCTCAACAAAATGGTGTGGTGGAGAGGAAACATCGTCATTTATGGATGTTGCTCGTACTTTGTTGTTTAACATGTATGTTCCCAAACAGTTTTGGAGTGATGCAGTTCTCACTGCTTGCTCCCTTATCAATCGTATGCCCTCTGTGGTCTTACATAATCAGTCCCTTTTTCCATTTTATACCATACCCGTTTCCCTTTTCCCTTGTCTCCTCGTATTTTTGGTTGTTTTGCCTTTGTTCATGACCTAGATCCTAGTCAGGATAAGTTATCTCCTCGGGCTCATAAATGTGTTTTTTTAGGGTACTCTCACACCCAAAAAGGGTACCGGTGTTATCATCCTGAGTCTTCTTGTTATTTTGTAGTGCTGATGTCACCTTCTTTGAGTCCACCCCCTACTATTCTTCCTCTGGTGCGCAGTTCTCATCGGACCTCATCTCTTGTCGTGAGGGGGCGCTCTCTTGCCCTGCTCCTACTCTTCCGTTGCCCCTGACATCATCCACCTCTTCTCCTTCTTCCTCTTCTCCCCCGGTCGCTCTTTCTCCACCTCCCTCGTCTCCTTTACAGGTGTATCGGCAATGTCAAACTCAACATGTTGTTTCTTATGGCCTGACTGATTCATCTTCTTTGCAAGAGGTCCCTGCTCCTCCTCCGCCACCATCCTCTGATGATCTG